GGCGGCATGTGTGTGTGTGTGTGTGTGTGTGTGTGTGTGTGTGTGTGCGCGCGCGCCACTTTCAAAATGGCAGAGAGAGAGAGAGAGAGAGAGAGAGAGAGAGAGAGAGAGAGAGAGTCACTGCGCTGCACAGAGGGCAGCGGCAATGGCGGGCCATTGGCGGTGATTCTCTCTCTCTCTCTCTCTCCCCCCCCACGAGGAAGCAGTACCCTTTCTTTGGCGATGCATTTTTTTTTTTTCCCTTTTCTTGTTTCTTTTTTTTTTTTTGTCGTTCTGTTTTTCCCTTTTTTTTTTTTTGTACTTCAGATGTAGGTTTGGGATGCCTGCGCCCGGTAGTCTGAGCCTCAACCCGGATCGGCGTACCGGTCCGTCGAGGCTCAGACTCGATAGCTGAGCCAAGTACTGGTGGTTTAAGCCACCAGTCCCTTTCCCATCCTGTTCTCTTCTAACACGCCGATTAACCCGACAACAAAATCGCAGGTCCCGCCTACCGGATGGGAAAGGCTAGTGCTGCCAACGAAATCACGCGTCTCCCGATTTAACAGGAGACGGTGTCAGGAGTTGGTCTGCAGCGAAGTGGTCACTGGTTTTAACGCTTACCAGTCAAAGCCGACCAGTGGTTCAAAAGTTGACCAGTGGTTTAAAAGTTGACCAGCGCCAATGGTTTAAAAGTTGACCAGTGGTTTAGAAGTTGACCAGTGCCAGTGGTTTAAAAGTTGAGCAGTGGTTTAAAAGTTGACCAGTGCCAGTGGTTTAAAAGTTGACCAGTTAAGAGCTGACCAGTGCTTTAAAAGCTGATGGAGGGACTCGCGGTTCAAAAGCGCCAACCAATGGTCCCATAACCACCCACCTGAATAGGGCCCACCTGGCACACCTAAAAGGGCCTTTACGATTCAGACCAATAAATGTGACCCCAACATAAAAGGGCCCTCTCGGCCAGAAATCAATTTCACGAGCCGCATTCCAAAAGACAAGTTCCCTGCGGCAAATGTCGCATCCAGTGTGAGACGACGAAAAGTCGTTTTGAATAGTCACACTCAGGTCCTAGACGAACAGGTACTGGGTTCAAATTTTAAGACTGAGATAGGGTCATGTCTGTTCCGCAATAAGTCAAAGGTCACTGTCCCAGACCACTCACAGCCCCACGAGTCAATTCCGACTCAGACCCGGAGTCCAAAAGACAAGCCCAATGGCCCAAAGCAGCAGCAGACCCTGGGAAAAGGGTACTGGGACATACACTTTGTAACAGCAGGTATAGGGAGTGTGCATGCATGGTGAGTGTGAGTAGGCCAGGACCATAGACAGATAGAGAGAGAAGAGAGACCAGGAAAGGCAGAGAGAGAAGAGAGCTATGGTGTGACTTACCTGTGGAGCGCCATTCTGGTGATAGGCTGCTGGCGCTATTCAGCACTAGGCCTGGAACTCTTCCTGCTGGAAGAAGAAGACTTCGAATTCTGTTGGGCGCTATACATTTTGAACTCGTAATTCTCTTTCTTTAATCTGGTTACGATAATTAGAGTTGCACTTCCTGGTTTCCACTCATCTTCCATTGGACTTCGTGTGAGTCATTGCAATCCGTGTGATCTGTGTTACATGCATGCTATCTGTCCATCACTCCAGCAAGTGACGAAAGGACAGGTTCCTTGCACACCGACCGACCCCTTGGACGCGAGTGTCTGTGTGCGTGTGTGCGTGTGTGTGTGTGTGTGTGTGTGTGTGTAGGCGTGTGTGTGTGTGTGTGCTGTGTGTGTGTGTGTGTGCGTGTGTGTGTGTGTGCATGTGGGCGCGCGCGCGCGTGTGTGTGTGTGTGTGTGTGTGTGTGTG